TCTGGAGAAGATACAGTTGTATTTTTGAACTTTGAATCTCTGTGTGTTTATATTTTTTCTTGCTTTATTGCAGCAGCTGGGTTCTTTAATGTGGTATTGCATTCTAACAGTGAAAGTAGTCATCCTTGACTTGTTCTTGATCTGAGGGAAAAAACACTTAATCTTTCATCATTAAGTATGATGTTACTAGCAGTGATTATTTTTTGAAGGTGCACACTGAGGAAGTGGTTTTTTTCCCCTGGTTTTCTGAGAGTATTTATCAGGAATGGATGTTGAGTATTATTATATGTACCTATTTGGATGATCATAGGGCTTTTCTCTTTACATTGATTGACTTTCAAATGTCAAACTAGTGTTACATCACTGGAATAAAGCCCCCTGGATTGTGATTTTTAATTCACTTTTATTTATTGCTACATTAAATTTGCTCACATTTTGTTGAAGGTTTTGTATCTGTAGTCACAAGAGATACTGACTTGCTATTTTCTTTTCTTGTGATCCTTGATGAAAGTGAAGGAGGAGAGTGAAAAAGTTGGCTTAAAGTTCAACATTCAGAAAACAAAGATCGTGGCATCTGGTCCCATCACTTCATGGGAAATAGGTGGGGAAATAGTGGAAACAGTGTCAGACTTTATTTTTGGGGGCTCCAAAATCACTGCAGATGGTGACTGCAGCCATGAAATTAAAAGATGCTTACTCCTTTGAAGGAAAGTTATGACCAACCTAGATAGCATATTTAAAAGCAGAGATGTTACTTTGCCAACAAAGGTCCGTCTGGTCAAGGCTATGGTTTTTCCAGTAGTCTTGTATGGATGTGAGAGTTGGACGGTGAAGGCTGAGCGCTGAAGAATTGATGCTTTTGAACTGTGGTGTTGGAGAAGACTCTTGAGAGTCCCTTAGACTTCAAGGAGATCCAACCAGTCTATCCTAAAGGAGATCAGTCCTGGGTGTTCACTGGAAGGACTGATATTGAAGCTGAAACTCCAGTACTTTGGCCACCTCATGTGAAGAGTTGACTCATTGGAAAAGAGCCGGATGCTGGGAAGGCTTGGGGGCAGGAGGAGAAGGGGACTACAGGATGAGATGGCTGGATGGCATCACTGACTCGATGGACATGGGTTTGGGTAGACTCCGGGAGTTGGTGATGGACAGGGAGGCCTTGACGTGCTGCAATTCATGGGGTTGCAAAGAGTTGGACCCCACTACTGAGCAACTGAACTGAACTGCTTTAAGTGTTTTTGCTATCAGAAGAATGCTGGCCTTATAAAAGAATTAGTACACGTTCCGTCCTTTTTTACTCTCTGGAAGAGAGTAGAAAGGCAATTATTTCTTCTTTAAATGTTTAGAATTTGCTAGCTCTCTGAATAAAGAGCTTTATTTTTTAGAAGGCTTAAAAATACAGATTCGATTTCTATAATGGATATGGGTCTATTCCTGCCACGTATTTATTCTTGAGTAAGCTTTAATAGTTTGCATTTTTCAAGGAGTAGCTTGTATTGTCCAGTTCATCCAAGTTGTTGAATTTATGGACATAAAATTTTAGTAATATTTCCTTATTATTTCTGTAATAGCTAGGGAGTCTCTGCTAATAACCCTTCTTTCATTTTTGATATTGGTAATGTGTGTCTTCTCTCTTTTTTTTCTTAGTCAGTCTGGCTGGAGGTTTATCGGTGTTACTGGTTTATTCAAAGAACCAGCTTTTGGTTTCATTGATTTTCTTTATTGGTTTTCAGTTTTCAATTTCACTGATTTTTGCTCTTACTCATTATTTTTTTCCTTTTGCTCATTTAGGGTTTAATTTGCTGGTCTTTTCCTAGTGTCATTTATTGGAAGCTTAGTTTATTGACTTAACAACCTTCTCTTCTAGAAGAAACATTTATTATTTATAAAGTGAAAAGTGCCCACTCTTTCGTTGCTTTCCTTTGGCTGCTTGCTTTTGACCCTAGATGGAACTGTAATTTTTTCAGTATCCTTTCAGACAGTTTATATGTATACAAGTATGTGAGAATATTGTTTCTACTCGCTCCTTTTTAACATAATTGCTAGATTTCTAGATTTCATTCTAGCAATTATTTTGTTCAGTGCCTTGCTTTGCTTTTTCACTTAGTAATCTATCTTGGATATAATTCTCTATCTTTCATATGTGTTTTCATTCTTTTTTATGGTAGCCTAATAGGCAGTCTTCTATTAAGAGACATCTGAAGATGGGGCCAGAACCTTGGGGTTTTTACTATTTTTTACATTTCGTTATGGAAATTCTCATTATGGAAAATTTTATGCATTGCAGTTTAAATATCTTAAATGTTTTTTAGCCTGTATTTTTCCTTTTCATTTTTCTCTCTGTTAAACCATTAGCTTTGTCCAATAATGGTAACCCTCAGTTTCCCAGGATTCTTTTTTAAAAGTTTTTATTCAGAAATAGAAAACACCTATGGAAAAATAGCTGAAACAAAGTACAGTTTAATGAATTGGTCTAAAGCATATATCCATATAAACACTCCAGAGGCCAAGAAATAAGATGTTGTCAGCACCCTGGAAGAACCCCTCATTTCTCCTTTCTGTGCAATTCCTCTCTCTCCACACACCCCCCCCCCCCCCCCCCCCAGAGATAATCAGAATCCTGATTTCTGTGGAAATCTCTTCTGAGATTCATTTTTACTTTCCCTTATGGAATTTCCTGGGTATTCCTACATCATGCAGTCTGTTTCTCCAGAAAATGTTTTGATCACATTTACCTTAAAAATGTCATCAGCTGTGCAGCAAAGCTTGACTTTTCTGTGGGGAGGTGCTTGCTCTCCATCCTTGTTCTGCAGGCCGTCAGGCTTGCTTACTGTTGCTTTGAGCTTCCGGAATGTTTTGTTTAGTCATCTTTCTGAGCCCCTTCAGGATGGAGGCTGCATTCATCAGAGTTCTTAGTTGTAAGCAGTAGGAATCATCTCTGGCTAATTCATTAAAAGGATATGGGTGAGCCCTCAGCTTTCTAAGTAGGGTCAGGAAAGTAGGCTTGCAGACCACGCTGCCAGGAACAGAGCTCAAAATCATAGCACATAAGTGGTCTCAGGAAGCACCTCTGCCACCAAGCTGGGCATGGATATTGCTGCTTGTGCTCCAGACACCACTGATGATGGACTGTGTGTGCCCCCATGACAGTCCCTCTCTCTGCTCTCAGACACTGCGTGTAACTGCTCCTCCTGTCGCCATCCTCGCTGGGTGGATTCTTGGGAGTTCTTTCTTCTGCAGGTTGTTTTCTATTTGACGTCTAGAGCTGATGCATCTTATTAGTGGAGCTTGTGTTATGTGCCCCTGTCTTAGTTTCAAAGAAAGATGGGAAAACACATATTTTTGTTTTTTTCTTTCTTTCTTCGTACTTTGGTAGTGGGAAGTATACATGTCACATAAGGTAGGGTGTACGTTAATGTAGGCTCAGCATTTGGATGGTCAGGGACCAAAAAGAGATGTCCACTGTAGAAGTCTGTATCAGAAATCTATCACTTTTAATCCAGTTTATGTTCTTTCTAGCCACTTACATTGCTTGTATAATGCAATGTATGTTTGACATGGGAATGTTCCTTATTTCCAGATAATAATATTGCCAGGTATGGTGTAAGACATGGACCAGAATCTGTATTCTGATGAACTATATATTTGAAAAACCCCATTCTAATTTTAGCTGGTTTTAGAGAATTCCTGTTTTATCTTATTAGATGAAATAGTTAAAATCAGACTGTAACAAGCATTTGTGTCTTGGCAGTATTTTCACTGAGAATTTTCTGGGTTATCAACCCTTTACCTTTTTTCCAGGTATGATCTTATTGTTTACAAAAAGTTTTGGAAAATAGGAGACACTATGTTAGAATTGGTAAATATGATAGGTGGACATATGATTTTCAAAACCAAGATGATACAGTTCTCATTATTGCAAAGGTATTTTACTCTAAGTTACTATGACACTTTGTAAGCACAAGCTTCATAAAATTAACACAAAAATGGTACTTCCAAGAAAAAAAAAAGGGGGACTTCTCTGGTGGCCCAGTGGCTAAGACTACATGCCCCCAGTGCAGGAAGCATAGGTTTGATCCCTGGTTGCAGAACTAAAATCCCACATGTTGTATGGTGTGGCCAAAAAGGAAGAAGATGCTGTTCTTCCATAAACTTTCAAAAAAATTAACACAAAAGCCCATTATATTTGTCATTCTATATATATGACTTAAAAATCCAGCTAGTGAAGTTTTCATCTTCTCTGAAACCAGGGCATAGTTGAATGGTTGAAGCAGTGGCCACAGGGCTTGGGGCCTTGCTGATATTGTCCTGGTTGTGCAGGTGGTGTACAGCCTTACTTGGAGTAGTTCACTCACGTTCTCCATTTCATCTTTCTACTTCCTGCAGAAGAGTTCATGTCCCTGTCCCTTCTCCTTCACTTTTCTCACATTGGTGATAGGAGAAGATGTGACACAAATGTCTCAGATGAGCTTCTAAGAATAAACACATGGTAACTGTAAAGGCTGTTACAGAAAAACAAACAGAGATAAATGTACTAGAAAATCTTTATAGCAGTATGCATCCTGTTTCCTTAGTACAAAGCAATAAACTGTTGTTATAGTATCCTGGTGGGAGGACACATCTTTGAATCACTGTTTGAACCAGGTAGGGCCTCAGGTTTGAATACTCAAAACACTTCAGCTGTGGATTTAATAGATCAAGGTGGTGGGATGTTTATTTCAGGTTCCGTCCATTTGGCCTTTGCCTACAAATCCAATAGAAGTTGTTTTACAGGGTGTTTCTAAACTCATTTCCAAATAAACTAGTTTGAACAATTTTCACATAGCATATGTGAAGCCTTAATTCTATAAAGGAAAAGCAAGAATACAAGGTTTCTAAATGTGGTAATATTGTAACATAAGTGTAGGAATCAATTTACTGGTTGCTTGATATTTAGTGATACGTTTGATTGCTTTTGTGGTTCCAGATAGCAATTATTTTTAATATAATTTATTTTGCAGTGAGGGCCGAGGCAAGTTGACGGTATTTTCAGTTAAAGCTATGTTAGCAACCATGTGTGGTGGAAAAATGCTGGACAAATTGAGATGTAAGTATTTTTATATTATTTGAAAGATTCTGTTTTCAAATTAGGACTTTTAAACACTTTTAAATGAATGTTTTTAGAATTTTGGATGATTATCTATTGAATGTTTTTGGTTTTTCTTACTACCGTATCACTTTCTTTGCAGCTACTGGCTCAGAATATGCAAATTATGCCACCTACTGGTCAGATGGAAAAGTTGGTTGAATTGATCTGTTAGGTTTTTTTGTTTTTTTTTTTAGTTTAAAGCAAGAAAACTGAAAAGGTTCAGAATAGTAATGTTGACATTTTAAAAATTCTTTTTGAAGCTGGATACTTTAAAAATTCTCTTAAAAATGTTTTCTATGTTATTAAAAATTATGCTTGAAGTTAATTATGTTGGTCACTTTTAGTTAGAAAGTAAATTTCATTACTTTTACTGGGTTTGGTCAAGTTTGCCCTTAATCACTCCATGCTTTGTCAGGTGGTATTTCTTGTGATTAAACTTTTTTAGTACCTTAGAGTCAAGTGTAGTTATGTAGAAATTAATAGTCTGTTTATTCAGTTATCGTTCCTTTTTTTCTTATTGTTTTCAATTTTGGCATTGTACTGTTCAGTGGATACTGTTAGAAGGTGGTAGAATGACGTGGAGGAAGGTAACATCCACAATTACTTAGTTTTTTTGCTTGTCCTTTTCATTTATTCAGTCTTTAGATAGTCCCTGACTGCCTCAGATACACCAAGCATTGTGCTGGGTGCTTACTTAACATGTCTTTGAGCAGCACGTGATAGTTTCTGTTTCACAGCTGAGTTAACTGAGGGGGTGAAACTGGAATTTCAACTCAGGCTCGTAGATTCAGAGCCTGCTGTAAGCTGCTTTGTTGTATTCCACCCTGCTTGTCCTGTAACAAGAGACAACGTGTGATCCAGGTGCCCTAATACTAGTACTTGTGGAGTAAGAAACTGGCAGGTTTCAGGGAGGTGAGGTTGAAGCTGTGGGTTTTCACGAAGTGTTGAGATACCTTGTGAATTGGTTTGTTGAAACTGGGTCATCTGTCCCGTAGCATTTCTCATGGACTAGATTTTGATGATTGCATCTGTGTGATGTTCCTCTGTGGCCAGTATTTTTTTTTTTTTTTTTAATTGAAAGATACAGAGACTTCATCTGATTCAAGTACAAGCCTTTGGGCAAGATTTCTTCATAGGTGCATTTGTTTTCTGTGCTTTTTCTTACATGTTATCATGACATTAAAAGTTGGAAAGTTAGGTGGCTCATTAGATCTAGATTTAGATGCCTAAAGAAAGATCTTAGATAATATATTTGGTCAGTGTTATCTAGTTATCTCTTTTCAAAATCAGCTGCAATTTAAAACAAAGTTTTGGTGGAAAAGTTATAGTTTTATTTAAATACTCTTCTGAGTTTTTTTCACATGGTATCTCAAAATATTACCCTTTGGAGCTGAAACTTCTTAGTATTTTCTAAATTCTAGTGTGGTTTTTCTGAGGAAGATAATACAATATGGATGAAATTATGTTTCATTCAAACACAGACAAAAAGAAAGTTGGGCTTTTGTCTGCTTTTTAACGACAATGATACCAGATAAAGAAGTACTGGAGAAGCTGGTTGAAAATAGGCAATTCACCTGCACATTCTAGGTGATTCTGGATTCTTTAAGTATCTGTGATTAAATTTGCTACATTTATATGCAGATTTTATGCTAGATACCAGCAGCTAGGTACTTGCCTGAAAAATCCCATGGACAGAAGGCCTGGTGGGCTACAGTCCACAAGGTTGCTGAGTTCAACACAGCTGAGCAGCGTAGCACAGTGGCACAAGAAGTTCAAAAGCCACATTAGAAAAAAAAACACAAAAACAAAAACCCACTATCATTTGGATCCCTTCCATACTTCACAGAGAATTAGAATGTGCACTTTTTTGCTAATAGTTACAACAGAGAACTGCAATAATTTTTGTTTTCAATCAGTAATTTGTATTTGGTAAAATTTTAGCCTACCTCCACTTTTTTGTTTTAATCATCCAGGGTGGAAACTGCTTTGTATAGTGTGTGCCTCCTGTTTTATTTTATTTTATTTATTTTTATTATTATTTTTTTTTTTACTTTTTTTTTTTGCCTCCTGTTTTAAACAGAGCTTACTGATCATAATTTAAACACTTTTCATCTCTTAGGGATGTCATTCTCTGATACATTTAGGGCTGGTGGTGAAATCCTGGGGTTCCTTCTCGTGTTTTCAGACTGCTGTGCTTTTTCAGCTCTTGAATTTCTGGTTGTTGGTGGTGGCAGTGTATATTTGTGTCCTTTATCGCTGGTAAACATGATGGTATTATCAGTTCTCCAGCCTCTACAAATCTCTCTTTGCTTCTGATCCACTTTTCACATGCTACTGATGGAGGAAACATAACCAGCCTTCTTTGTATTCTATTAAAGTACAGACAGAAGTGATTGCTCATATTGAGAGAAGCACTCACTTTCGTAGTATGATTGTCAGTTTTGGCTGTTGTGAGAATCCATTTGTTCTTTGCTTTCTAGTCACAGCTATGTCCTACTTAGTTGAGGTGGCTGAATAATAGTGTAGCAGAAGTTAGCTGTAAGACTGTATTGTAACAGCAATTGATATTTGACCATTTACTCACTTTTTCTGCCTCCTTATTCCCTTTGTTCTTAGTTCCTATAGCCTCCTCTCACTGACTGTACTTTTGCTGTTACCTCTGTTAATGTTCCCATTAGGTTAGATTTTCCTAATTTATGGAATATGCCTTAGCATTTCTACTTTTATTTTGATCTTTCTGCTTTTTACCTGTTTTAGGATTTTTTTTTTCTTTAATTTTCTCTCTTTCCCCCATTTTGGCCTTCCCTGGTGGCTCAGATGGTAAAGAATCTGCCTGCAATGCAGGTGACCCAGGTTGGATCCCTGGATCAGGCAGATACCCTGGAGAAGAGAATGGCTACCCACTCCAGTATTCTTTCCTAGAGAATTCCATGGACAGAGAGGAGCCTGGCAGGCTACATTCCATGGGGTCACAAAGAGTTGGTCATGACTGAACGATGAACACTTTCACTTTCCCCCATTTTACTTGATCTGTTCTTATTTGCTTGCTTGTTTTCTTGTCAAGATAGCATTTAAAATGACTTAACCAATATTTGTGTTTTTAGTTTGAGACATTTCTTAATTAGACTTTACAGGTCTCTCAAGTTTCTGTTGCCAGGTATCATTCATTTATAGATAAGTGGTTAACTTATGGCCATTAGGGACTTTATCCAAGATTCAAAGGCAACTCGTCAGGATTCTAAATACCAATGATTTATAATCAGAGAATACAGACTTTAATTATCAGCATGATGAAGACTCAATAATGTCAGGAATCCTCAGAGAAACAAAATTTACAGACTGTAAGCCCATTATTGATTAGACCGTACTTATCAATTAATTTAACTGTGTGATTTGCTTTGTCTAATTCTGCTGTTTTCTAAGAAACTTACTCTCTTATTCAAACCCCATATGTCTTGCACTAAAAGATAGGAACAGATGATTCATGCAATTTATTTTTAAGTCCTTGAGAAAACTGGTGCCATCATTTTGAAGGGCAGTCTGACAGTGTGTATCAGAAAAGCTGTAGGAATATTTGTATCCCGTAACTCAGCCTGCTTCCTGTTTATCTTGAGGAATTAAAAATCCCAGGTTTTATATATATTTGTTGCAGCACTTTTTATGATATACGAAGACTTGAAACAGCTTTAATGTCCAAAAGTGAGAGCTCAGTTACACTTCAGGATACTGACAGGATTGAATATACTGCCTTTAAAATTATGCTTGAGATCAAAATGCATTTTGTAATGCAAAATGAAAAATGCAAAAAATAATCAAAATGCAGTTTTAAACAAAAAATTATTATGTGCATAAAAAAGAAATATACCAAAATGATAACATCCTCTTAGGCATTTTCTCTGAGTTGTGGCATAAAATGGTTTTTTAGTAATAATTCATATTACTTATTGTTTTTGTGTGTTTCTGATAGACCACATTTTGAGTAGCCAGGGAAAAGATGACCTGAGGTGGTATTTTTGCACAGAACTGGCAGTTCTAACATTTCAGTTGATTTGCTTCCTTGATGTTTCCTTAACAAACTATAGGGAGTCAGCCTTTGAAGTTATAATTAAGCAGTTTCACCTGTTCAGAATTTAGCATCCTCTGCAGTATTGTAACCACCTGTCACTGCTTATTTATCGTGGCTGGTCCTCTTAATCATTCCTTCCCTTCATTAGCAGGAAGTGACTCTTTAATCTGAGTATTTGCTCACATTCATATTTCTCATGTAACCAAAATGTTTTAAAACTGAAAGCAAGAAATGACTGCCTCATCTGCATTTTATGAAAAAGAAAAAGATAAACCAAAAGCAAGGGAGGCCTGGAGACTTGCCTAAGGTAGTTCCTGACTGAGTTGATACTAGAAGCCCAAGGCATGGCTGTCTCCCATCCTCCGGCCTCACTTCGACTTAGTGAATGATGCAGGAATATTCATGAGTTTGAGAATAAAATTTGCACTTGGATTTAGTTACATATAGATATTTATAAATATGCAGATGTGTATACATTGTGTGTGTGTGTGTGGTTTAGGTTTAGTTGGTAGAAAGATGGCAAGAGAAGATGAGAATCATTTGCCAGCAAAGCTAACAAGAGAAAAGAAATGGCTTTCTTTTCAATAGACTCGAGTCCTTATTGTAAACAGTCCTGTCACTTTGCAGAAGTGTATGGTTGGTCATGCAGGGCCAAGAAGGGAATGGATAGATGCAATGAAGAAAGCCAGGGTCATTATCACCAGGAAAAAAAAAAATCAATATATATGTGAGGATAGTAGAATAGTAGCATTATTTTGCCACTGCACAAAGGACAGAATATTTTTAAGTTTGTACCCGTGTGTGTGTAAGGACTTGATTGCAGGTTTTTCACAAGGGAGAAAGCCCATATTTTTATCTGGAGACAACTAATGGGAAATCAGCATACCTTCTT